CCTATCCCTGTGTGCCTTGCTCCCACGACTTTTCTATAATCCAAAATACTTTAAATTTTGAGCATATGTTCTTTAAAAATAGTAGAATCCCATAAAAATATCAAAAAAAAATTCGTGATAAATAAATTTATCAAAATGCCCCTAATTTTTTGGTCATTTTATATCATACAAATTATTCTTTAAATTTTTTTATGAGGTGCACCTTGATGAGAATAATAGATGCCTAAAATTTAACGTGATTTGGATTCGTAACACGGAAATTAAAATTCATATATGAAATAAGATAGTGTCCGTCGGATCGGCTCATATTGAATCTGAGCCATTGGGCTCACATGTAGCTATAAGCCCACTAGCCTATGCCAGCATTTCCCTATATATCACAATATGTTTCAACATACCCCCTCAAACTCAGAGTGCCATGAAATAGAGCAACTAGAGTTTGGATGGGTCTTGGTGAGGAGATCAACCAATTGATGTTCTGAACGAAAAAATTAAGTATAATAGTCCCTTACGAAAAATGATGTCGAGTCAAATGGAAATCAATTTCAATGTGTTTTGTTCGATCATGAAAAACATCATTCTGAGTTATTTGAATAGCATTTTTATTATCACAAAAAACATATGAAGGGCCGGAATGAGGGACACCCATGTCTTGGAATAACCATTGTAATCAGATAATCTCACAGATAGTAAGAGCAAGTGCAAAATATTCAGCTTCCGCACTTGAACAAACAACTACATCTTATTTTTTACTTTTCCAGGATATAAGGGAATCATCAAGAAAAATAAGGAGGCCAGTGGTGGAACGACGATCCATAACATTACCAGCCTAATCAACATCAAAATAAGCATGCAATTCTAGGCGAGAAGTGGAGGAGAAAATAATCCCCTTAAATAAAGTGCCACAGAGATATCTTAATATGTGAAGTACTGCAGCGTAATGAGAGGAACGATGTACATATATGAACTGACTAACAATGTGAACAACATGACTAATATTAGGCCAAGTAACTGTTAAATTGTTAAAACTGCCAATCAGTTGCTGATACCGTATAGGATCAGACAGAAGTTCACTTTAAGTGGGCCTTAGTTTAACATTGAGTTTTAGCGGAGTATCAACTTTTTTGGTGTCAGTTAAATTTGTCCTACGGAGAATTCCAAAGGCATACTTGACTTGAGAAAAAACATAGCCACGTGGAGAAGAGTCCACCTGTACTCCTAAAAAATAACGGAGTTGACCAAAATCTTTCATTTCAAAACAAGTGCAAAGGTGTAATTGGATGTCACAAATGCTCTCAATATCACTGCCAGTGATAATCACATCATCAACATATAATAATAGCAGAACAAGGCCATTAGACGAACGATGAATAAAAAAAGTTGAATCATGATGGCTTTGAACAAAACCATGATGAGCAATAACATAGGTGAATTTTTCAAACCAAGCACGAGGTGCTTGTTTGAGACTATATAGGGCATGTCAAAGCATGTAGACTTGATGAGACTAATAAGGTACGTCAAGAGGAAGCTTCATGTAGACTTATTTATGCAAATCTCCATAAAAGAATGTATTTTTAACATTCATTTGATACATTGACAAGACAAATAGAAGCAACAACAATTAATGTGCGAACTAAGGTTATACAGGCTACAAGTGCAAATATTTCTTCCTAGTCAATCCCATATTCTTGAGTAAATATTTTTGCAACTAAGCGAGCTTTTGGTGAGTAAATCTTTTTGCCACTAAACGACCTTGTTTTAAAAATATATATTTCAAAATTTGAACCCAAAACAAGCATGAGTTAAATGAGTGGGTTCAAATATCATATGAAAAACCAAGTTAAAAATTTGAGATTTGACTTGGTCATTTAAAAAAGGAAAAAGTTTATATACATGTGAGGCTCTAAACAATCAAATTGAGGTGCACCTAAAATTTTTTACTAGAAGAGGTTATTTTGATGCCCAAAGATCCTCAAATTGATCATCTCAACCTCAAGAAGCATGAACATGAGAAAAAAATAGATTTCAAGTTTTGGAAATGGTACATCTTGTAATGCATTTTTTGACCATCAATTTTCAAGATTTTCAAGTTTTCATATTTCTGCTCAATCTATACCTTTTTCAAAGCTTTGAATTTTATAATTAGTGTTGAAAATGTATTTTAAGGTTGTCACAAAGATTTCCAGTATTCAAACCACATTTTTGAAATAGAGTTTCGATCTATGGGCATTTTTGGAAAAAGAAATGAAACCTCTTCTCAAAACTTGAAATCTATTTTTTTCTCATGTCCATGCATCTTGAGGTCGAGATGGTCAATTTGAGTATCTTTGGGCATCAAACTAACTTTTTCTAGTGAAATTTTTGTGGTGGGCTCTATTTTGATTGTTTAGAGCCTCAACTCTATATAAACTTTATCCTTAAGATTTTGCGCGAGTCTTTTAATTTAAATTATAAATACACACCAAAAGATACATGCTCATGATATGGAATAGTCACAAAAGAGTGGAATGTCAAATAATTCATCTCTTGTAATAGTGTGATAAATTTTCCATGAATTTAAGCTCATAATGGCCACAATTTTTGTTATTTAATAAATGGAAAAAGTTTATATAGAGCTGAGGCTTTAAACAATAAAATTAGAGCCCACCTCAAAAATTTTAGTAGAAGAGGTTGTTTTGACACCTAAATATCCTCAAATTGATCATCTCGACCTCGTGATGCATGGACATGAGAAAAACATAGATTTCAAGTTTTGAAAATAGTGCATCTTGTAACGCTTTTTTAAACCGTCAATTTTCAAGGTTTTCATGTTTTTATAGATCTGCTTGATCTACACTATTTTTTATAGATCTGCTTGATCTATTCTATTTTTGAAGCTTTGAATTTTATAATTAAAGATAAAAAATATATTTTAAAGCTATCACAAAAATTTCCAATATTTAAACTACATTTCTCGATACCATTTGAACATGCCTTTACCCCTAGCTCGATTTTTGTTTTCTATGCATCTTCTTATTCTTTCTTTATTTTTTTTATTCTCAACTTGCTAACATTATAGTTCTTCAATATCCAAATTCACAAAGTAGTTTTCTGACCTATGATCTTAAAGCTCTAAAGCTAGGATTTCGTTCCAATCTTTTATTTTCT